AGACCAGCCTAATTCCATCAGGCAACTGAATTTACACTCCTGCAACTATCTCCTCCACATTATTGTCTATGCTATCTAGTTGATCTACAGTGTCAGAGATACTTTTTTTTGTCAATTCGTCTTTCAAACAAAGATGCGAATTGTGACAATGTACTATTTTCCATGGAAGTTGGACATTCTGAGTATCTATCAAGGAGTCCAGCGCAAGTTACTTCTGTAGATTCATCGGGAAGTGTTTTGAGATGATGGCTTTAAAATACTGATACGCTTCTCTGGTGTAGACGTGTTGATAAAAATGACATCTCTAGAAATCGTGTGTCAAAGGAAGTTGGAGAAGCAGGTAAATTGCTTCTTGTGCAGAAACTTCATAGTGATTTCAGAACTTACTTTAATAATTTTGAAATAACTCTCATTTTCTCCCTTACTCTAAAGTTTCCTCTTTTTTGTCCAACAAAAAGCACAGGGGATGATTTTTCCTTTGAACATTTGTCAAGGAATAAGCTTAGAGGATGTTTTTTCACCAGGTGCAATTTTGTAAGGCATGCCTTCCATCATCTGTAAAGTCTAAATTTGTAGTAAAGTGTCCTTGTTCCCTGAACCTGATACTTCTTCATCAGACTGTTCTACCCAATTATCTCTTGATTATTGTGATTATTGACTAGATGTTGTTGTTCTATTATGATAATGTATCAATGTACGGCAGGCATTTCGGGATACAGTTTTCGATATGCAGATACCAATTACGGAATGTCGATGATTGTAAACCGTACACACACACACAAGTATTTACCACTGTTTTGACAACACATTATGTTTTCACGCTTTAAATGATGATTTCCCGGGTTCCCGGCTCATTTTTCGGCAATTTCACCTGTCCCGCCAGACTTCGTTTCCCCGCACAATAATTTGACTTTCACGTGTCACGCATACTAAAAAATGGCCAATCCCGCGTTACGCTGAGACCCAAATGAGACCCACTCTATTGATTTACTGACTGACGGTTTAAAACAGTATATCATTTATTGCATGCTTTATAGATATACGGGAAGTTTGACTAGCCATAAAAGCAGGTTCAACCCACAATTTTACCTTAAATGTCCTGTACCAAGTCAAGATTATGGCAGATTTGAATGATTATGAAAAACGTTCCACCAATAAATAGAATATACCGGAACTTCAATATAAATTAGTTTGACCTTTTCGAAATTACGAACGAAAAAGTAAATTTCTTTGTAGATCGAATAAATATTATTTACAGTCATTTCCACTACTTTTCAAAGAACTACTGCCATTCCTTTCTTTCTTTGTTAAATCGTTTGTCCCTGACCACACAAACAATGTAATGTTATTATACTGTTTCACAAGTTCTGCTAAATTTTGCTTCAAAAAATTAAACTGTTCCTTTGTAGTAGCTCCCGATTTATAACACCATTTTATTGAATTTCGGAAATTAAGTTGCTCTTGTAAACATCGACCTTTGCTGTCAGATAAAACAACCGGAACACTTTTTAAATTATTGTTAATGTACGAAAGTTCCTCAATTTTCGATAATTGTTTGCGTATGTTATTCATGTAAACATTTAAAATTAAAGTCACAATATTAATATATATAATTTAGGTCCTCCACCATGATAGATCCGTGATTTTGCTGGCTTGGCTTTATAATAATTAATAACTATATTTCTGATCTAAATTTCTATTCTATAAACTACATATGTACAGTTATGCTACAAATCTACAACTCCCCTTCACTTGGCTACACGTGCTGTTCTTATCTATAAAGTCATGAATATTCATCAGCTATGTAGGCGTGTCAAAATCGTATCATACGCGATAATGACCAGCCAGTACACACTGTATTATGATTTCATTAACCAATATTAAAAAGATAAATATAACACATCACAGAACGTATTGTATTACAAATGTTGTCCACATTGGTTGATGGTTGACAGTAAATTGATGTCAGACAACAATGAATATCATATGATGACACTATCAACCGTATTCCCTCTATCCCTTCCTTCTCAATAAATGATTTCGAATCAATCTGTATTCCAACTTTTACATAAGCAAAGATGCCACATTGAGGTCTGTGTAAATGTGTTGCATGTGAATAAAAGTCCATGAGATTAAAACCATTCAACATATAATGATCTATTGAAACTGACTCTTCAGCCGAAGTTTCTTGTATGAATATTAAATCATTCTGAGATATACGATCATCATTCCTATAATCATCAATGTGTTTGTGTAATGATCTTGCATTGTGACATAAAATTGCAAGTGGTAATTGCCTGTGAACAATCTGTTTCTCATTTCAAAGTCGACATATCTCAAATTTAACATTCTTGTCAATTGGGATTTTGTTTTTGTTAAAGTCCAGAAGATGGAGACCCTGTAGCGAGGTAACACGACTTAATGCCACATATACTATGTGACTTTGGATGCGTCCTTTGAGGGATACAACAGCATTAGAAAGTGCAATTCCTTGACATTTGTGTACTGTTGATGCTGCAGCTGGTTTCAATGGGAATTGTTTGCGAACAATTTGAACATTTTTGTATCTTCCTACTTGAAATTGTCTGGTAATGAAATGTATTGGTGACCAATTGGGATTGATAGAACTTTTGTAAAGTGATTTGCTTTTTTTCCATTGTGTTGCACCAATGTCTTTTTCAAGAAAAACAACCTACAGAAGTATCGTTTTATTTTTTGATATGTCGACATGCATAACTTGGCAGGAAGCCCCATTGGTTAGGCCATCTTTTATATCTACATTTTGAATCATCATGTAGTTTGCAGAAACTTTCAAAGGTAATTGTGAGAGCAAGTTTTGAGTTTTTTGTGGTGCAAGAGTCTTAGATATGTTTAATATAGAACCTTTGACATTGGTTGTTCCGTCTCCAGTTACATAATCAGATACCCCAGCAACATATAAATGGCCATTTATCCTTGATAATGAATATACATTGTGCTCATCAACAAGTGCATTGGAATTGAACAGATGTATATAATTGTCTATATTAGATTTCCTAGCTAATGAAACAAGTCTTGTAGATAATATATCAATGTCATTTTCTGTTTGTAGTCCTTCTCGGACTATATTGAGTAGATGTGCAAAATGAGCATCATCTGTCTGACTCATAACAGTTTTCAGTTCATAAAATGTAACTAAGTCTTGCCAAGATTAATTGCTAGTGGTCCATAATCTGCTGTTAACATAGAAAAAACCCACTGATCAAGAACAGGGCGTAACTGAAACAGATCACCCCCTAAAAGCAGTGATATGCCCCCTAACGGCTTTTTTGATCAAAAGATATCCTGGAGTCGGTCACTAAGGAAATTAAACATTTGAATGCCCACCATGGACACTTCATTTATAATAAGGACCTTTAACTTAACAAAATGAGATCTTAGTGTGTTCAAAGTGCTATGGTTTACTGGTATAAAAGTTTTCAAAGACTGGCTAGCAGGAATGTTGAAAATTGAATGTAGAGTGTTTCCTTTAATGTTGTATGCAGCTTTGCCTGTTGGGGCTGATACTACAACCTTTATATCATCTTGATTTTCACCTGCAGTGTCAAAATGTGGCAATAAGGCGTAATAAATAGCTGTCAACACATGACTTTTACCCACTCCTGCTCCGCCGGATAAGGAAACGTGATGGGGTTCATCATTTGTTTTGGTTGTATTCAAAATGTAGTAAAAGAAACATTTTTGCTCTGGATTTAAAGAACGAAGTAGTTCAATATATTCCTGGTCTGATAGCTTATTTGCTAGAACAATTTCTGTGGCATTGTTTGTACTTTTGGAGCATCCAATATCTTGTCCTATGTCATAATGTGGACATGAATCTGCAAGATTGAGTATAGATTCCATGTCTTTTCGGAGCTGTTCTGATTCATCCTCTGTTTGTCTTGCATTTGGAGCAATGTCATCTATTTCATCATTGACTATCTGTTGGTTGATATCTTAAATGCTTTCATCTGTAGCAAAGGCATCACACATTGCCTTACAAGGAGTAATGTGAGCTTCATGAATTTTAAACTCTTCTTTATAAGTGGTACTTTGTCTTTTGAGAGCACATTCCTCTCTCCACGGATAAAAGAGCATTAATTGCTCCCGATAGTGTACTAGTAACTCTTGATTTTTATTACGACTATATCTAACTGAACGTATTATCTTTGGGATCCTCCTCTAGACCAGCCTAATTCCATCAGGCAACTGAATTTACACTCCTGCAACTATCTCCTCCACATTATTGTCTATGCTATCTAGATGATCTACAGTGTCAGAGATACTTTTTTTTGTCAATTTGTCTTTCAAACAAAGATGCGAATTGTGACAATGTACTATTTTTAATATTACTTGTTACACTTACCTGATATCCTTACATTATGGATTATCTTTCCGGTATTTGGTCACATCTCGCTCAAAACGCTTGACTGATCAAGAATTCAAACCTCTCGGTGAATCAGTCCAAGCGTGAGAACCCCTTCAGTATTCTTTACGGCGAAATCCAAAGCGGTCACGTTTCTTTATTCGTCAGAATTAACGTGTCTAAGACACAAGTTTTTGCAAATTAAGTTTTCGTATGCGTGCAAGGATGACGGAAGCTACCGTTCATCACACGCTCAGTGAAGACGAGGTATTTTCTACTGCCAGCAGTCCAAAATCATCAGTGGCAGGGGATGCTCGGGATAAAATGGCGGAGCCAAAAGCCTCGAGAAAGACCAGTTCCCGTAGGTCCAAGAAAAAGGACGAGGTCGAGGAACTGAATAAGAAATGGGAAAGCCGTTTCTCACAGATAGAAACCAGGTTTGATAAATTTTTTGATTTATTTAGTTCAAACGATGGTATAAATATAAACAAAGATACTGTCACGTCAGGTGAGCAGAGACCTTGTCAGAATCAATCTGAACAAGATAGTGGCTCTTCAGGAGCGCACAGACTTGTTCAGGATTCTAACCATGAACATTTTCCAACAGATTCAGTCCGTGAAAGGGAAAATGAAGATGTCGTATCTTTGGCACCAGGCCTTAGAGAAAGACATGACATAGGTTTACTATCAGAAGATGAGTCTTCTTTAAAAAGTGAAACTGAAAATCCTCAAAAATCTTCATCAAGATTCAGTAAATATGTGAATGGTAATGAAAGTGACTCAGATGAGAACAATAATGATCACTTAAAATCTTTATTTGGGGATGATGTTAAGACTAAAAAAAGAGACAAGCTCTGGAGGTCTTATTCTTGACAAAAGTCAAATTGATATTTTATCTGGTTCTTGGAGGTGTAAAAATCCAGAAAGGTTGACAGCCTATAATGATGAATATAGACACAGTTTTCCTGTTCACGAGAAAACTAGTGATATTTTAGAAGTACCTAGTCTAGATAATATGGTACCTGATTTATTAGTGAAAAAACATGGTGCTAAAGCTTATTCAGTAAGCCAGAAAAGCAATTTATACAATCCTTGTTTAAAATCCCTTGAAAAGTTGGCATATCAAGGCCAGGTAGCTGCACGCATGGGGATAATTACTACAGCATACACCCAACAAGCTTTGGGCAATTTGTTAAATACTTTGTCAGAAAATGAAGTTAATCTAGACAAATCTATCCAACTTGTAAGAGACATATTTGCAATGTCTACAAAATCTTTGGACCAAGTGGCACGGGCTGGTGCATTTCACCACTTAATTCGTAGAAAAGCTACTTTAGAGGACACAGGTCTTAATGATATTAAAGAGCTTAAGCATCCACTTGTATCATTACCTTTGACAAAGTCAGGTGTCATTGGTGACAATATGGAACAAACTCTTAAAGACAGGGTTGACAAAAATAAACAATTAAAAGAGTTACTGCCTGAATTACATGTAAATAAAACTTTTTCAGTGAAAAGGAAAGCTACAGGCAATCAATTTTCCAATGATTGGTCTAAGAAACCAAAATTTGACAATGCACAAGGTTCTACTTTCACAGGTGCTAAGTCTAATACACAGCGTACAGTACAAAGAACTAGTACAGTAACAAGACCAGATAAAGACGACAAGAGTTCTGGTACAACGAACAATTTTCGTCGCTTTAACAACCCATTTCATGCCAAGGGGCAACAAAAGAAATGACTATCAGATCAAGGTAAGCAACTTTCATGTGCAAATGTTGCTTCCAGAGATACCTGTAGGGGGTCGTTTAAGCTTATTTCTAAAGGAATGGACAAAAATAACAAACGATCAGTGGGTTTTATCAATTATAAAAGAGGGCTACAAACTGGAATTTCAACAGTTTCCGCCAAAAACAGGAGTAAAAATAACTTCTGTTCCTGCAAAAGATTTAGAAATTTTACATTTAGAAGTAAAAGAACTTATGGAAAAAAGCGCTGTAGAATATGTTCCGCAAGCGGACATTTTAAACGGTTTCTACAGCACATTTTTCCTAGTTCCGAAAAAAACAGGGGACATGAGACCCGTAATAAATTTAAAACCCCTCAACAGGTATCTCCGAAAACAACACTTCAAAATGGACTCTCTGTCAACAGTTTTGAATGTAGTAAAACAAGGGGATTGGGCAATATCTCTCGATCTAAAGGACGCATATATGCATATCCCTGTATTTCAAAAACACAGACAGTATCTGAGGTTTTGTGTAAAAAACAGCCCTTGCTTACAATTTTCAGCTCTACCGTTTGGTCCAACATCAGCTCCTCGAGTTTTTACCAAAGTAGTATCGGTAGTAGCTGCACATTTACGAGCACAAGGCATCAGACTAGTAGTATACCTGGACGACTGGTTTCTAGTAAATCAATCATCTCTCATGTTAGTCCAGGATCGAGAGATAGTGTTGAATCTTCTGGTAAAGTTGGGTTTCATAATCAATCTAAAAAAATCCTCTTTAACTCCAACACAGAAAATAACATATATAGGTGCATTATTCCATCTGGATTTAGGAATAGTAATGCCAACACAAGAAAGAGTGTTGAAATTACAAAAAACAGTCAAAGTAATGAACTTGAAAAAACATGCCACAGCCAGAGATTTTTTACATCTACTTGGAATTATGGCTTCTTGCATAGAGATGATTCCCTATGCAAGACTTCATATGAGACCAATTCAAATTTATTTGCTGAGTCATTGGCGCCCCACTTCTCAAAATCTGGAACTGAATGTTCCAATTACACAATATCTAAAATCTCATCTGATTTGGTGGTCAGATACAGCCAACATTACAAAGGGCAGATCTTTACAACACTGGGAAACTCATGTGACCATAACGACAGATGCTTCTACATCGAACGGTTGGGGTGGTCACATGGATTCCCAGATAGTCCAAGGGACCTGGGCAGATATACAGAAAACTCAACATATCAATTGTCTAGAGTTGGAAGCTGTACTGAAAACAATACAACATTTTCTCCCTCAGTTGAAAAGGAAAAATGTACTTCTGCGATGCGACAACTCGACTGTTGTACAATACATAAACAAACAGGGGGGCACCAAATCAATTCAGCTTTGTCAAAAAACTTGGGATTTGTTGAAACTCCTAATAGAACACAAAATTCAGATAAAGCAGCACATATAGCAGGCAAAGCGAATGTGTTAGCAGATCTTCTATCACGGACAAAAATAAGACACACAGAGTGGTCTCTTCAGGAGACTGTAGCTCAACAAATTTTTGTCAGGTTAGGCAGACCGATGATAGATTTGTTTGCATCAGCGGAAAATCGCAAAGTGAAAATATTTTGTTCATGGTTTCCTCACCCGGAAGCATATGCAATAGATGCTCTGTCCATACCGTGGGACAATGTAATCGGGTATGCTTTTCCTCCGATCTGTCTAGTACCGAAAGTGCTCCAACACATGAATCGGTACAATTGCCAGCTAATTCTTGTAGCTCCTCATTGGCCAAGGAGACACTGGTACCCAGAACTGCTAAAAATGATATCAGATTATCCCATAAAAATACCAGTTCAAAAAAATCTACTACATCAGCCAAGAACAAAAATATACCATCCAAGCCCAGAAATATTCAGTCTGGTTGCATGGCCTCTATCAACAGAATTTTCAAAAAGAGAGGTTTTTCTAAAGAAACTAGACAACTCATGTCAGCTTCTTGGAGAACAGGAACTCAAAAGGACTATTCTAGTAAGTTCAAAAAATTCTGTGGCTGGTGTAGTGAAAGGGAAATTGATCCCTATTCTGCCTCTTTAACAGAAACTGCAGATTTTCTTACAAGTCTGTATACCAGTGGTCTCCAGTATAGTACGATTGGGGGCTACAGATCTATGTTATCAAGTGTTTTACCCCCAGTTGAAAAAATACCAGTAGGTCAACACCCATACATTATTCGTTTATTGAAGGGTGTTTTCAATTCAAGGCCTCCCAGGGTCAAACTACTTCCTGAATGGAATTTAGATAAAATACTTGAAATGTTAAAGAAAAAGCCTTTTGAGCCAATGAAAAAGGCTGAACTCAAGTTTATCACATGGAAAACTGTATTTTTAATTGCTATCACTACTTTCAGGCGTTGCAGTGATATACAGGCCTTACGTTTGGGAGATGGAAATATATCTGTACATAGCAGAGGAGTTTATTTTATTAGAGAAGGATTGTCAAAACAAGACCGTCCTGGACATTTTGGTGCTAAGATTTTTGTACCTGCCTTTGATGCAGAAAAGCTTCTTGACCCTAAAAGGGCATTAACGTACTATTTAAAGAGCACTGACAATTTTCGTGGTGAAAACAGACAAGATAGTAAATTGTTCTTAGCAATCAGTAATCCACATAAGCCAATTTCAAGTCAAACAATTTCATCATGGATTGTGAGTACCATTCAGATGGCATATAACGACAAAAAGAAATCTGTTAAGGCTCATTCGACAAGAGCTATTGGTCCTTCTTGGGCTCTTTATAAAGGTGCATCAATGAAGAACATCATGGAAGCTGCTGATTGGAGCAGGGAATCCACATTCACCAAATTTTACTTACGTCACATAGACCCTCATGTTTTATCGAAGTAAAAAAAAAAAAAAAAAAAAAAAAAAGAAGAAAAATACATAAAATTCGAAAAAAAAGAAGAAAAATGTGTACAGTTTTTTAACTTGTAATATAGTTTGTATAGTGTTGGAACTATTCATATCCGACGAGATGCGATGCAAGTTTTTAAACCTTTGTGTGTGAGATGAAAAAGACATCTATTTAATGTGTTTAAAGTCAAACATTTAGACTTTGTATATAGTGTAATATAGTGTACATTATTTGAACAAAAGAATTACAGTCCACCGCTTGAGTTGGGACTGCTTTAGAATCTATGGATATCCATAATGTAAGGATATCAGGTAAGTGTAACAAGTAATATTAAAATTGTACAATTTTGTTCACAAATTGGAATTTTGTGAACGTAGTTACACTTACCTGATATACTACCCACCTCCTCCCCATTAGTAATTCTTTTGGCAATCTGTTTGGATTTCGCCGGAGAATACTGAAGGGGTTCTCACGCTTGGACTGATTCACCGAGAGGTTTGAATTCTTGATCAGTCAAGCGTTTTGAGCGAGATGTGACCAAATACCGGAAAGATAATCCATAATGTAAGGATATCAGGTAAGTGTAACTACGTTCACAAAATTCCAATTTGTGAACAAAATTGTACAATTTCCATGGAAGTTGGACGTTCTGAGTATCTATCAAGGAGTCCAGCGCAAGTTACTTCTGTAGATTCATCGGGAAGTGTTTTGAGATGATGGCTTTAAAATACCGATACGCTTCTCTGGTGTAGACGTGTTGATAAAAATGACATCTCTAGAAATCGTGTGTCAAAGGAAGTTGGAGAAGCAGGTAAATTGCTTCTTGTGCAGAAACTTCATAGTGATTTCAGATCTACTTTAATAATTTTGAAATAACTCTCATTTTCTCCCTTACTCTAAAGTTTCCTCTTTTTTGTCCAACAAAAAGCACAGGGGATGATTTTTCCTTTGAACATTTGTCAAGGAATAAGCTTAGAGGATGTTTTTTCACCAGGTGCAATTTTGTAAGGCATGCCTTCCATCATCTGTAAAGTCTAAATTTGTAGTAAAGTGTCCTTGTTCCCTGAACCTGATACTTCTTCATCAGACTGTTCTACCCAATTATCTCTTGATTATTGTGATTATTGACTGGATGTTGTTGTTCTATTGTGATAATGTATCAATGTACGGCAGGCATTTCGGGATACAGTTTTCGATATGCAGATACCAATTACGGAATGTCGATGATTGTAAACCGTACACACACACACAACAAGTATTTACCACTGTTTTGACAACACATTGTGTTTTCACGCTTTAAATGATGATTTTCCCGGGTTCCCGGCTCATTTTTCGACAATTTCACCTGTCCCGCCAGACTTCGTTTCCCCGCACAATAATTTGACTTTCACATGTCACGCATACAAAAAATCGGCCAATCCCGCGTTACGCTGAGACCCAAATGAGACCCACTCTATTGATTAACTGACTGAATGTTTAAAACAGTATATCATTTATTGCATGCTTTATAGATATACGGGAAGTTTGACTAGCCATAAAAGCAGGTTCAACCCACAATTTTACCTTAAATGTCCTGTACCAAGTCAAGATTATGGCAGTTGTTATCCAAATAGTCTGTTTCTATGTTTGTTGACGTTTATTTTTGTCCGTTGTTTTCCTCTTGATATGTTTCGGTCGGTTTAGGTTTGTTACCAGAATTTGTTTTCGCTTTATCGATTTATGACTATTGAACAGCGGTTGCCTTTATATACAAACTCACCTGTAAAGTGGAACACATGTCAATGAGACAATAACCCCCAAAAACAAAATATACCATTGAAACAGCTCACTAGAGAATGGTAACCAATGTTCAACGCTACGACATGATTATTGTGTCCTGCATTCACAAAAATTGATAAGAATACAAATTAACAGAATAAAGTTAAATGTACGTGTCTTGGGGAGAATCATTTGATTGATTGATTGATTGATTGGTATTTAATGCCGCTTTCAACACTATTGTGCTATTTCTTGGCGGTCAGATTTTATTTGCCAACAAGCTTGGTGAAACTTTTGCGAAATCTTCTTCTTCTAACAACTACAGGGAAGATTTTAAAAAAGTTAAAAAACAAAAAGAAAAAATTAAATTAAACTTTAAATCAAAAAATGGTGAAAATTATAATAAACTCTTTTCTTTTGAAGAACTTAAAACATCTCTGTCAAAAGCCCATGATACAGCTTGTGGGCCTGATAATATTCACTACCAACTGTTAAAACACTTGCCAGATTCCTCGCTGGAAGCTCTTTTGCAGCTTATGAATAACATCTGGGAATCTGGTGATTTACCATCAATCTGGAAGCTTGCAACCGTCGTGCCTATTCCAAAACCAAGTAAAGATCACACGGATCCTATTAATTATCGACCAATTGCTCTTACCAGTTGTGTCTGTAAAACACTAGAACGGATGGTCAATGATCGCCTTGTTTGGTTCCTGGAATCCAATGGGCTTTTAGCCAATATCCAGTGTGGATTCCGCCAAGGTCGCAGTACCATCTTGTTCGATTCGAATCATTTGTCCGTAATAGTTTTGCGAAAAATGAACATGAAGTGTCGGTCTTTTTCGATCTAGAAAAAGCCTATGATACTGCATGGAAGTATGGTATTTTAAAAGATCACTTTGATATGGGGTTGAAAGGCAATATGCCAAATTTTATTTCGAATTTTCTATCTAACAGACAATTTAATGTTAAGAGTAAATTCAACCATGTCTGATCTGTATGATCAAGAGATGGGTGTCCCTCAGGGCAGTATTTTATCTGTTACATTATTTAGTCTTAAAATCAACAGCCTTGTTGAAGTTTTAAAAAGTAATATTGAAGGTTCATTGTATGTTGATGACTTTTTAATATGTTATAGAGGCAAAAATATGAATAACATAGAAAGACAATTACAGTTATGTCTTGGAAGAATTGAAAAATGGGCCTCGGAAAATGGGTTTAAATTTTCCACTTCAAAAACGGTCGGGATGCATTTTTGTAACAAAAGGAAATTGCATCTTGATCCAGAACTCACTTTGTACGGCAACCCAATTAAAATGGTTGATGAAACCAAATTTCTTGGGTTAATTTTCGATAAAAAGTTAACCTTTCTACCCCATATCAAAATGTTAAAATCGAAATGTTTAAAAGCATTAGATATTTTAAAAGTTGTCGGCAGCACCGACTGGGGTGCTGATCGCAACATTTTACTTAATTTATATAGATCTCTAGTTAGATCTAAACTAGATTATGGCTCTATAGTGTATGGCTCTGCAAGGAAGTCCTACATACAGATTCTCGATGCTGTGCATCATCAGGGTTTGCGTCTCTGTCTTGGCGCATTTAAAACCTCACCAGTTGAGACTCTGTATGTAGAGGCTGATGAGCACTCACTCTTTAACAGACGTTTGAAGCTTGGACTTCAATATGCTGTCAAACTAAAAGCCTACTCAGATAATCCTGCCTACAGCTGTGTTTTTAATCCAATTTATGAAGATATTTTTGCAAAACATGAAAATAAAATTCCTCCGTTAGGTATACGTTTAAAACCACATTTAGCTTCTTTTGATTTAAAATCTGTTGCTCAAGTTGAAACTTGCAAATGTCCTCCATGGGAACTTGCCAAACCAAAAATAATATTTGATCTCCGTGAACACAATAAAAATAAAACAAACCCTCTTTTAATTCAGCAACACTATGCTGAAATCAAAGCCAATTATTCAGATTTTTCAACTGTCTATACTGATGGATCAAAAGATGGTGACAGAGTTGCATCTGCTGCTGTCTTCAGGGACAGAGCTGCAACTCTCCGTTTGCCGTCTGATGCATCGATCTTTACTGCTGTTTCAGAAGCAATAATTTTGGCTTTGAAATTTATTGCTTCTTCAGATAAATCCAAATTTATTATATGTTCTGATTCACTTTCATGCTTACAAGCTATACAAAATACTAAAATTAAAAACCCAGTAATTCTCAAAATTTTATATGGAATGAGGAATTTAAAAATTCTTCGTAAAGAAATATTATTTCTATGGGTGCCGAGTCATGTTGGAATCCTTGGAAACACAGCTGTAGACCTTGAGGCAAAGAATGCCCTGGGTGACCCTTTATCTAACTGTGATATACCATATACCGATTTTAAATCTAATATTAGAGAATATGTTTTTAATATATTGAAAAATGAATGGAGTAAAAAAGATGATAATAAATTACATGAAATTAAACCTAATTTAGGTAAACCTTTCAATAATGTTATGTGCAGAAAAGATCAGTGTGTTATTTCTAGATGTCGTATTGGTCATACTAGAATAACACACGAATATCTTTTAAAAAATGAAGTAGAACCACAATGTATACCTTGTAACTGCAAGTATACTATAAAACATGTTTTAATCAATTGTATTGACTTTGCTGATATTCGTAAGAAGCATTTCAATGTTAATAATATGTATGATTTATTTAATAATGTTCCATTTACAAATATTGTTTCATTCTTAAAAGAAGTTGGAATATATTCAAAAATATAAAAATGTTATTATATTTAAAACGATTTTAAATTTTATCACGTTATCTTAATGTTCATTTTTATTTGTAAATAATCAATTTGCTTTAATCTAAAATTTTAGTTTATTGTCTGATTTTAAGAATATGCTTTAAATTGTAAAAAATATTCGAATTAGCTCTCGCCGCGATATAGCCTTGTTGTTCTAATGCGGCGTAAAGCAACCAACAATCAATCAATCAATCAGATTTTATTTGTGGAGGATGTCGGAGTCATTTGAAGTGTATCCAACTGTGTTTTTGATTTTGGTGAAGTAAATTTGCTACATCATTTCAATAGATATAATTTGATAGTGCAATGGATATTTGTTTATTGTTGCATATCTAATTTTTGTTACATGGATTGAACTATTATTTCATTATTACAGTGTGTTAAATGTCCTTT